GACTCCATAATCCGGTCTATTACGGCTCCTATGTGGGTCAGGTGTTCGGGCCAGGAGCTGCTAAAAATGTCTATACCATTCAAGTAGGTGTGTATCAGTGTGTATCAGGGATCCTTAGGACAGGTGTCAATCCATATCTGCCAAGTGACCCTATGTTAGGGTAACATTCCCTATTCTGATCTGTGTCAGTGTGTATCAGGGGCTCTGAGGACAGGTGTCAATCCATATCTGCCAAGTGACCATGTTGGGGTAACATTCCCTATTCTGCTCTGTGTCAGTGTGTATCAGGACCACTGATAGGAGACGCTGAAGGTATTAAACTGATAAAATAGTACTAAACACTCCACCTCTATCTGGTGTCAAGATTAGCTTGACCGCCAAGAAGTGCCCCAAATTTGCAGTAAGAGGACCGCACTGCTTCCTTCTTCCATCTCCCTGTTACAAAAATCAATGCCGTGTACACGACCACTGATAGGAGACGCGGAAGGTATTAAACTGATCAGAACAATACCAAACACACCACTCCTATCTGGTGGCACATTAGCTTGACCGCGCAGTGCCCCAAATTTGCAGTAAGAGGACCGACCAAGCCTCTTCTTCCATCTCCCTTTTACAAAAATCAATGCCGTGTACACGACCACTGATAGGAGACGCGGAAGGTATTAAACTGATCAGAACAATACTAAACACACCACTCCTATCTGGTGGCACATTAGCTTGACCGCGCAGTGCCCCAAATTTAAATTAAGAGGACCGACCAAGCATCTTCTTCCATCTCCCTGTTACAGAAATCACTGCCATATCCATACAAATTGTACAGTATGTCCAGGATAGTTTTCCAGGGACAAATGTTGTCGCCTGTTGAACGAGGTGACTTTGCTCGGGTCCCAGGTGTACGGTTCCTAAAATGGCTGCCATATACACGTCCACTGATAGGAGACGCTGAAGGTATTAAACTGATCAGAACAATACTAAACACACCACAAATAAGGTTTCTCTCCTGTATGGCTCCTCAAATGATGCTTAAGATTAGAAGCGGCTGAAAAGCATTTCTCACACAGGTATTAAACTGATAAAAATAGTACTAAACACTACACTCCTATCTGGTGTCACATTAGCTTGACCGCGCAGAGCCCCAAATTTGCAGTAAGAGGACCGACCAAGCCTCTTCTTCCATCTCCCTGTTACAAAAATCAATGCCGTGTACACGACCACCGATAGGAGACGCGGAAGGTATTAAACTGATCAGAACAATACTAAACACACCACTCCTATCTGGTGGCACATTAGCTTGACCGCGCAGTGCCCCAAATTTGCAGTAAGAGGACCGACCAAGCCTCTTCCTCCATCTCCCCGTTACAAAAATCAATGCCGTGTACACGACCACTGATAGGAGACGCGGAAGGTATTAAACTGATCATAACAATACTAAACACACCCCTCCTATCTGGTGGCACATTAGCTTGACCGCGCAGTGCCCCAAATTTGAATTAAGAGGACCGACCAAGCATCTTCTTCCATCTCCCTGTTACAGAAATCACTGCCATATCCATACAAATTGTACAGAATGTCCAGGATAGTTTTCCAGGGACAAATGTTGTCGCCTGTTGAACGAGGTGACCTTGCTCGGGTCCCAGGTGTACGGTTCCTAAAATGGCTGCCATATACACGTCCACTGATAGGAGACGCGGAAGGTATTAAACTGATCAGAACAATACTAAACACACCACAAATAAGGTTTCTCTCCTGTATGGCTCCTCAAATGATGCTTAAGATTAGAAGCGGCTGAAAAGCATTTCTCACACTCAGAACAAAAATATATTTTTTTAACATTCTCTCCACTTTGAACGAAATGACGTTTGGGAAGAGATTAACATAATTAAACACAGGCAGTAAAAATACAGTTTTTAGCCATACCCTGTAACTTTAAAACTACACATCCCATCTTCATAATTACATATTTGGAATCAGCACACTAAAAACATAAACATAACCAAAAATCAGCCAAATCCATCCAGGGGTTAAAAAGTTAGCTGGAGGTCCCTTTATGACCGACTGCAAGCACATTTTCCTGCCCAAAACAGTTCCATAGATTTGGGCTGTGAGGGCGGTCTATTTCAGGCTGAAAAAACTACTAAGTCCCATCGCGAATGGGACTTAGTCTCTGCAGCTGAAATAAGGCTGAAAAAAAGACTAAGTCCCATCGCCGAATGGGACTTAGTCTCTGCAGCTGAAATAAGGCTGAAAAAAACGGCTGAAAAAAAGACTAAGTCCCATCGCCTAATGGGACTTAGTCTCTGCAGCTGAAATAAGGCTGAAAAAAACGGCTGAAAAAAAGACTAAGTCCCATCGCCGAATGGGACTTAGTCTCTGCAGCTGAAATAAGGCTGAAAAAAACGGCTGAAAAAAAGACTAAGTCCCATCGCCGAATGGGACTTAGTCTCTGTAGCTGAAATAATTTCCCATTTACTGAACCAAGTGGGAAATAGCAAGGCAGGCACAAAGGGTTTGCACCAGGTCTGTGGACACAGGGGACACCGTCTTAAAGGGGCCGTGTCCCCAACAAGTCTGGGGACACGGCCTTAAAGGGGCAGTGTCCCAATCTTCCTGATGTCCCAAAAAGGTGTTTAAAGGGCCAGCACCAGTCACATAAAGAGTCCATAAGCCCCAATATGCCCACCGACAGTCCTAAAGGGCCATACACACCAAATAAAAGTGCATACATTTTCACAATCTCCCAGGGGCCATAGTCATGCGGGAGGAGGCTGGCAAAGAGGCTTCTCCACAACCCAGGGAAACAGGGCAATTTGCCATTTAAAGGGCCCGTTACAAATAGCAGTTTGTAACAAGGTGTCAATCCATATCTGCCAAGTGACCCTATGTAGGGGGACCAGTCTCTATTCTGCTCTGTGTCCGTGTGCATCAGGGGCTCTGAGGACAGGTGTCAATCCATATGTCAAGGTGTCACTATGTCATATGTCAGGTGTCAATCCATATTGATTGTGATTTAGGAATGTTAGGTGATTTCTGCCCTTTATGGATTAAAACCAGACTCTGTATCAACTGTGTAATTTTCCATGGGAGTTTTGCCATGGATCCCCCTCCGGCATGCCACAGTCCAGGTGTTAGTCCCTTGAAACAACTTTTCCATCCCTATTGTGGCCAGAAAGAGTCCCTGTGTGTTTTAAAATTCGCCTCCCCATTGAAGTCAATGGCGTTTCGGGCGGTTCGCCGGTTCGCGAACATTTGCGGAGGTTCGCGTTCGCCGTTCGCGAACCGAAAATTTCGGGTTCGCGACATCACTAGTGGTCACTATAGGACATGCAGAGATATGAAAGCAGGGTTACAACGTTTAACTCTAACTCTAAGCCTAATCATACCAAATTCTTATAAGATCGTCCTAAAAAAAATAAATGAATTTTAAATAATTTTACAGAAATATCAATTTAGGAGTATGGAAGCAGACCGCTGCTCAGGAATGCATATTACTGTGTTAATTATACTTGTGCAGCTGTTTAGTTTTAATATATTTTACTTTCTTTCTGTTTATTGTTTAGGTGAATCCAAACTTTTTTCGTGTGCTAAGAAATCTTCAGGCCCTTATAATGGTGGATATGCAGCTGGGCCCTAAACTTGTTGAACTAGTTTGTTCACAATTAGGAGGCACCGGAATCCAGATGCTGTTATTAATTAATGTACAACTGTCAAAAATACATAATACAACATTTAGTGGATTATCAGACACAAATCTGACATATTTGGACATCTCTAAAAACAGCATGTCCCAGATAGATAAAGACGCATTTGTCCACCTCCCTCATTTAGAGATTTTAAATTTGGAAAGTAACCAAGTTACGGTTTTAAATCAATACACTTTTCATGGTTTGTCAGGATTGAAGACTTTGAATTTAAAAAACACTTTGAAAGAGTCAAAAATTGATGACCTGTCGTTTCAGTGGTTAAAGAACCTTGAATACCTCAATATTGATGGCAACAAAAATTTAAACTTTACAGAAAATACTTTTAATGGGCTCACAAGTCTGAAAAATTTGAGCATGGTAAGGTGCTCCATGAATTTGGAGAGTGTTACAAATAAAACATTTATATCCCTTTCAAAGTCTCCTTTGCTGGAATTAAATCTCTCTGATGCTGGGATAGCAAAATTAGAATATGGAGCATTTTCTGGTCTAAGACGTCTTCAAGTCCTTGATTTGGGTTTTAACAGAATCGACCAGGAACTTACTGGAGATGAATTTTTAGGTCTCTTCCAAATCATACTGATATACTTATCTTACAACAATCACATAACACTGACAAGTAATTCCTTTAGTTCTATTCCAAGTCTTAAGAAGTTAAACCTTAGAAAAACTAAACTTACATTTAGAGATCTCAAACCATCTCCTTTTAAAGGCCTACAAAATCTAACCCAATTGGATCTGGGCAACAACAATATTGCAAACATAGAGGAAAACCAATTCAAAGATCTTTCCAGTCTCAGAATTCTCAATCTACAGCACAACAACCTGGCTCGATTATGGAAAAACGCTAACCCAGGAGGCCCAGTTTTGTTCCTAAAAGGATTACATAATTTAGAAATACTCGACCTGTTATCTAATGGCTTTGATGAAATACCTCCATCAGCTTTTCAAGGACTGTCCAACTTAAGGATATTGAACTTGGGAGAAAACAATGTATATATTCTTCCCAAATCTTTATTTGATGATCAAATATCTATTTATCAGTTAGATTTGCATAAAAATCTCATAACATCAGTTGAAAGACAAATGTATGAAATAGTTTTCAGTAGCATTAAAATATTAGACATGAGTGGAAATCCTTTTGATTGTACTTGTGAAAGCATAGCTTGGTTTGTAAATTGGATTAATACAACTAATGCTACTATACCAGGCTTGGAAACTCAATATACATGTAATACACCACGCAAATATCATGGAATTTCTGTTGAACTCTTTGACAACTCACCCTGTAAGGATACAGCACCTTTAAAAATGTGTTTTATATTCACATTCACGTTGATAGTCTCTTTTATACTTCTAGTATTTGTGATAAATTTCCAAGGGTGGAGAATACAATTTTATTGGAATGTTTCCATCAATAGAATTCTTGGCTTTAAAGAAATTGATCGAAAAGGAGAGAACTTTCGTTATGATGCTTATATAATTCATGCCAAAAAGGATATGCCATGGGTTGACGACAATTTGATTCCACTTGAAAAGGACAAAGTCTTTCCCTTTCAGTTCTGCTTTGAGGAAAGAGATTTTGAAGGTGGAAAATCACAACTTACAGAGATTGTCAACAGTATAAGAAAAAGTAGAAAAATCATTTTTGTGATAACGGAGTACTTCCTGGATGATCCTTGGTGCAGGAGGTAAGCTTAATTTATAGTTTATTTTTTTTCAAATATATCTTAATTGGAGAACCACTAGTTTCATACAACATTACCTCACTGAAAAATACAGGTTGTGTTTCAGACACCATGCTTTTAGTTTTAATATTCCATCTTAACGGGTTAATTGGGAGATCTAAGCAAAGAGAAACATAACCAGATATATTGCATGCTATGAAAGGTAAATGAAGGTAATTAAAGATATACTATCTTGTAGTGGGTGAATTTCCATAGGCAACTTTCTAAAGAGCCTCACAATTGTAATTAAAACAGTGCAAAGACTTGTGAGAGAGGTTGAGGTATTACTTAGCGGAACACCACCTTTCAAGTACATTTTTCGTTGGACCTAAATGTAAATACATACCTGTCTTTTATGTGACAAACACAAGGAGCAGGTGGTTATTGCTTATTAGCCATATCAATGTAACTTGGTTATCTCATGCACCCAGTCATGATCCCAGTGTTTAAATGCATGCCTCTAAAAGGAACACTGTAGTCACCCAGACCACTTCATCTCAAGCAAGTGCTCTGGGTGCAGTGTCTCTATCCCCTTAACCCTGCAATGTAAAACATTACAGCTTTTAAGATGCTGCAATTTTTACTTTACAGAGATAAGTCCTCCTCAGTATGACAGTCACTAGAGCAAGCATGTCAAACATGCGTCCCCCACAATGAGTATCTGTGCAGCCCCTAGGGCCAGACTGGCTTACCGGGATACTGAGTGTAGTGTATTAGAGTGGCGGGAGGGGGACAATGCATTAAATTGGGGGGAGGGACGTGGGGCAGTGTATTAGAGTGGGGGGCAGTGTATTAAATTGGAGGGAGGGGAAGCAGTGTATTAAATTAGAGTGGTGGGAGTGGGGGGCAGTGCATTAGATTGGGGGGGGGGCAGTGTATTAAAGTGGGAGAGTGGGGCTGCAGAAGGCTGTGAATTAGACTGGGGGGCATAGTAAGAAACATGAAGTTAAACTTTTAAGTAAATTATATACATGTACCCAGGATTACATATTGTTTGCATGAAAATAATACAAGTAATTTTAGTTTGTGTTGGTCTAGGTCAAACTTATTTTTTTGCGGCCCACATAAACTTAAACCTTGTTTATTTGGGCTGTGTTAGTCTTTGAGTTTGACATGCTTGCACTAGAGGCTCTTCCGTTGCACAGACCAAGTAAAACTCAGTCACTTGACATGAAAGTCCCCATAAAAAATCATTGAATCAATACTTTCCTAGTCTAAGATTCCATGCACGTGCACATGCAGTACTTGATGCGCATGCAAATTAGGACCCTAATGCTCCTCTATTAGGGACATTGGATTGGACCATCGCAGAGGGGGCCATGCCTCCTTATTGATGCCGCATGAGGTGAAGGGGTAAGCAGCAATGAGGGAGCAGTGAGAGAGTGCTGGAAAAAGGTAAGTAAAATAGTTTTTTAATTTTATTGCAAATGGGGGGGGGGAGGGGCACCGGGGCAGAACTTGGGACAAAGACATTATAGCATTCAGAATACAGGTTTATATCGCTAACGCTATAATGTTCCTTTAAAGGAAAGTCACTATACTATGCTTACATTTCACATCCCAAGAGCAATTTATCAATACACCTACTCTCTTGTTTTTGCTTACCATAGCTTTAAACTATAACGCACATACTGAAATATGAAAAAGGTTCTACATTTAAATATCAGATATATACTATTTAACCACTGAACACAAGAGGTGCTGAGTAAAGCATTGTGTTGTAAGAAAAACACAAGCATTGCCAAAACATTCATTACTGTTCATATTTAGTGGAGCCGTGTAGATCATATGAAAGTATTTACAGCACATTGAATAAACCTAGCTCATCTAGTATTGTAGAGCAACATATTCAAGTTACTTAAATGATTCAGTGGACCCCATGTAACGTGAATTTAATGAAATTGTTGGAATCTCTGGATAAGACTTTGATGGGTCATCTGAGCTTAAAAGTAAAACTTGGTCACTTGGAAGCCCCGTAGGAAAGCATTGATTTAATCAGTGACTGAACTAACGTACAGAGGGCCCTGGTGCATGAATTGTTTTGGGTCCCCTTATTGCAGTGGTGGCCTAAAGGTAGATCCCTATCTGTCATACATCTCCTACAATGCTTTGACAGCTGGGAATCCACCATTTCCCCACGCTTGCGGGATTGTATTTAGCACTGAGCAGTGTTTGTATGTTTGAATGTAAGCATGTTTTTATATGCAGTGTGTGAATGTAGGGATGTGTTATATGTAGTGTTGCCATTTGAATGCAAGCATGCATTTATTTGTAGTCTTGGTTTTTAAATGCAGGGGTGTTTTTATATATTATTTTTTTGTTTGCATGCCTTTTACTGTGTGTTCTGCATTGTGGGTTGGTTTCCATGTCAGCTCATTTTGACTTTTTTCTGACCTCCAGAACAGATTAATTGGTTTTCAATACATTCCTATGGGAAACCGCATTTCGGTTTACAAATTTTTTACAATAAGAGAAGGCATTTAATTCATAAACCGAGGTACCACTGTACATTACAAGATGATCAGACATTTATACTCAAATATGTCTAACATACATATTAAGCCTCTCCAATGCAGTATATGAAAATGCGCATTTTTGTTATTAATATGCATTTATATTGTGACAAACCCCTGGAATTTCCCTTGTCCCAATTATTTCCCTGCATTCTGTAGATTGCCTACCACACTGGCTCATTTAACTTCAAAGAAAAACACTCTCTGGTTGAACAGGATAGCCGGGGATAACCCTCAACTTCTGCACTAGAGCCTGGCCCTTCCACCCTACAATTTTATCATGCAATACAGGTCAGACAAACAGAATGGCAATGCAGATGGATTATCCCGGCAAACCAAACTGGAGCCTTAATTTATCCTCCTGGATATCCCAAGCCAACCTGTTGGGGTCTAGGCAGGTATGCCGTACCATGGAACTGGGGGGATCAATGTGACAAACCCCTGTAATTTCCCTTGTCCCAGTTATTTTCCCTGCATTCGGTTAGATTGGCCTACAAAACACCGACCAACCCTCTCATTTAACTTCAAAGAAAACCTCAAAGTTAAGTGCTCTCTCTTTGTGGCCACCATTCGTATAACCGAACAACACGTACACTGGAAAACAGCAAGCATCTTGTCTCCCGAAAGCAGGCAGCGCTACTTGGTCGTCAAGTGTCTGGAACTCTAAAGCAAACACTTGACTCCGCAAACACTGGTGATTAGGTACGAACACTTGCTTCTTTTCATGACAAGCCAGGAGAGCACTGCTCGGTAGGATTGTTCGCACAAACAAGGGGAACAATCGCTACTCATGAGCCAGGGGAACCATTTGACTTTTGATTCATTTTGGAACTCCCGAAGGTCTTTACCCCAGTGGCGATTCGGTAGTGTTTGTGGGATCTGAGCTCTATTTGGATATGTTGGGCGCTCAGATCCAGGCTATACGGGGATATAATACTTGTGGGGGTTCCTATGTATGTTATATGTATTTTGGGGTGTTTTATATTTTGTATGTTTTATATTTTGTGTCTGGGAGAAAATTAGGTTAAGCAAAGTACACTCAATTATCTCCCAGACACAGAGACTCTGGGGCGTGTTTTACCAAACTTTTGCTTAAGACCCCATGCTGGGGATCTGTGTATAAAAGTGGGCCATAATAAAAATTTCTGTTGTACCCTTCATCACGTCTCGACTGATGTTTGGTTATGTGAACGAAGAAGAGCTTGATTTTAACCACGGTCTACTGGGATTTCGGGAGAGTACTAACAAGCGTACTATGCAAGCGACTATAATCACTCAAGCCTCTAGCATTTCGGGAGTGTGAGAATGAACGTACTTCATGAAGTACAAGGGGTTTGTTACATATATCTTATGTCAAATATTGTTATAAAAAACTGTCAAGGTAGGGAGGGTAACACCACGCAGAGCTTAAATCAATGCTACTCTGATAGCATAAAACAGGAACAGGCATGCTACCAGTCCTTAGAATGGCCAGGCTTAATGCAGTGCCTATAGTAAGCAAAAATAACGGAGTCAAGAAACTAGCCAAAGTCAGGGGACTAAAAAATACACAAAAATTTATTGTCAGGCTGATTCTAGGAGTACAGTTATCAGAATAGTTAATCAAACCGAGTGGGTATACCAGAGGGAAAAAAAAAACCCATAAACACACTATTTGGAATTAGAACAAAACCGCAACAGGGCTCTGTGAAGAGTTAATAAATATGGCATTAATAGCTAGGCCTGTACACTGAGAATAATCAGTTGCATCTCTGCCAAATAACACAGGACTAGTTGCCTCTGATTGTTTCTGTGATACCTTGCTACAAAAGGCACAATGGAGCAGTGTTCTGCATAAGAATTAACACCAATGTAATGGAGGTGTTAGTTATGTATCAGGAAAAAGACTCTAGAAGCTTGTGAGAATGCAACATTATGCTTTACTTATGGGTATAAAACAGCAAGCATTTAGAACACCCCAATTACTTAAAAACATCAACGTGCACAAAGAATAAGGGAGGAGGTAGAGAGAGCTACATGCTGTTGTATTTCCTAACAAGAGGTTAGAGCAAATTCAGCATCAAGATTAATGCAGGTCAGTACTTAAAGGGACACTGTACTCACTATAAACGTTTAATCTATTTGAATTGGTTATAGTGCCTTGAGACCCCAGGTATTATTCCTCCACTCAGCGTTAAATCATTTTAGCAGTTTAATACTTAATAAGGCATCAAGGCCTCTCACAGTCCGGACCCTTCTGGAGGCGTGGCTAAAGCAGAGATCACACACTTCCTTGTAGTCATACCCTTTATACCGTCAGTTGGAGCTTTGATAGGCTAAAGCCAGTCAGCTGACAACTATGCTGTACTGCTCAGACTAATACTTCCTCATGAGCCAAAGCAGCACAGAGGGGAGGGGCTGCTGGGGACTACTAAAATTAATTCCTCTAGTCATTTCCTCTTGTAATTAAGTGAACCAAAGTAGTCCCTGATTCTATATTTAATTTATTGTAAAAGAATGAAATAAACCTCGTTTCAAGAAAGCCATTTAGACATACACATTCAAAGGCTGTGAAAGCCTGCTCCCCAGCAAGGAATATTTCTGGGTTTGGGGCTTTAATTTATTTTCTACAGATAGAAGAATAACCTGCAGGTAACACAATGGCATTAAGAGGACTAGATATAAGACATGTCATTAGGTCACAAGTGAGAATAATATTTGGGGATCGAAAAAACATTTCTTGCCACTAATACTGCTGGGATCCTGACAATTTAAAACATGTTTCATGTTTTCTATTTTATTAAATTACAGTTCCAGTTTTCACCACTAGTGGCCTCCCTAGCCTCTAGTCACCTCAGTCTCTCTCACCTGCATAGCATGTTAATTCAAGTCTGCTATAAAAAGCTAAACCCAACTCATCACATGGCCTTCACATTGAGAGAAGTGGTGTTCTGAACCTGACATGTCTTCTGCTCCTGGCTCTTTCTAAAGGACACATGCTCCACCCTTGCTTACCTTCAACCATCCTGATTTATTCCAACCTGATCTCCAAAACAAACCTGCTTTCTTTCTTTACTGGACTTTGTTTTCATATTGATTTGGTTCCAACCTACCTGGATATTATAGACATTCTTATCATTTGCAAGTATCCTCAAAGACCCTGAAACTACAGTTCTGATTTCAAACCAAAGAGGCTGATCACCTCAATTGCTGCTTTAATCTGTTTTACTTTATCCTTTATATTCCTGTTTAGTTTTATCTAAATTGTTTCCCTGTTTTGGAGCATATTGCCTAAACTTCTATTTCCATACTCACCTGTAATTCTGTTTCTATGTTCTGCTTTCTCCCTTTGTCTTTGTAATACATTTTCCCTCTTTCTCGTGTTATTCTTATTGTTACCTTTGTCTAACCATGTCTAATAACTCAAATGAACTACCTGAAGTCAACCCCGGCACGAGTCTCTTGTCTGACCTGATAAGAACCATGAGATGGGGTCTCTATTACACAGTAAGGGTCACACTGGTGAATCCTGAGTGACTAGGGAATATTTAATTTCTGTATCACTTTTTTTTTTTTCTTTTTCTTTTTAAATAAGTGTTATGGATGTTATGTTTGGTTTACATGCAACTTAATTTATGGTACAAAGCCTAGGATGTTGTCTATTGCAAGAAGGTCAGCCAGTTGCATTTGCGTCCAGAGTGCACTCTTCAGCTGAGCAAAATTGTACTCAAATTGAAAAGGAATGTTTAAGCATTGTTTTTTCCCGGTCAGCGTTTCCATCATTATCTCTATGGCCGGAATGCAATCAAAGCTGAAACTGATCACAAACCGCTAATAGCCATATTCAAGAAGCCGCTTTTATGTGCTCCAAAGCATTGCAGAGCATGATGCTTACATTGCAGGATTACAATGTCAATGTTGTGTACAAGCCAGGATGTGAAATGTACATCAGTGACACCCTAAGCAGAGCTACAACGGAACACGTGGCACCTGGAGGTGAGCATGAGCATCTTGCAGTTTGCTACAGCAGGAACAGAATTTCTTTGCCGAAGTTAATCAAGCAGACTATCTTAATGTCACATGAGATACCTACATGTCCTTGGCAGATTGTCAGCATGGACTTATTCAACTATGCTGGAAAAGAGTACCTGCTCTTAGTCGATCATTACTCAGACCTCTGGGAAATTGAACTGCTTCCTGACCTGTCCACTGAAACTACAATTAAGCGATGCAAGGTGCAATTTGCACATCATGGCCAACCAACTAAAGTGATTTCTGATAATGGTCCTCTGTTTGCAAGCTTACAGTTCAGGAAATTTGCTACTGAATGGGAGTTTGCGCATGTGATGTCTTCACCACATCATCCAGAAGCTAATGGCAAAGCTGAATCTGCTGTGAAAATAGTGAAGAATTTGTGCAAAAAAGCAAAGTGATGGTAAAGACCCATGGAAAGCCATCTTACATTGGAGAAAAACTCCAACCGAGGGTATGGATAGTAGTCCGGCACAGAGACTGATGTCAAGGAGATTAAAGACCTCCTTACCAGTAGCCAACAAGCTACTTAAACCCTCTGTGATACAAGGTCTACGACTTAAGAGACAAGTGTTCAAGGCAAGATATGACTCATCTGCTAGGGATTTACCTGAACTGAATATTGGGGGACAAATCCGTATGAAACCGCTTCCTGGAGATCGAACAGGTCCCTGGAGAATGAGAACCTGTCTGCAAAAGGTTACACCATCCACTATCTTGTGGATATCGAAGGAACTCCATACCGACGCAATCGTGTGGATCTGCGAGTGGCCGAGAAGCACGATTCTCCATATCCATTTGACAAGCCAGACACACCTGGTATTCCAAGGACACACTCACATGTTGTTAGTAAAGAGTGTACAGAAGTGATACCACAGACTAGTACTAACGACAGCCCTGAGCAAGCAGGGCCTGACCGCAGTAAAGTTCAAAGCATGCCAGTAAGGGGTGGGAAAAGTCTAGTAACCTCAGAGAGGGGGCTAAAAGACTACTTGCACAACCTGGACCAGTCTTCACTTGTAGTGGCAGACATTCACAACCAGCTGAGAGACTTAACCTCTAGAATGTTATTACAAGGACAGTGATTTGGATTCCAAATTTCACAATGTTAATTTATTAATACTAAAAGAGGGAGATATTATGGATGTTATATTTGGTTTGCATGCAACTAACTCTATGGTTTATTTTCTATTGCACTTGTTTCCTGTTGGGGTGTGTACTTCCTTCCTGTATCTCCTGAAACATGGTTGCTATACGTGAATAGCTTGCAGTGTCTTTATTTATATCTCCTGAAACAATAGCCTAAAAACCAAGATCTTTTATTTGCTGACATTTGGATATTTTGGCTCCCAAGGCAGCATCGTGACAGGAGCTCGAAGACATTAACCACGTGGTCTGCAGCTCTGCACCTGTCAGAGATGCAGTCCAGATGGCTACCGGACCACCGGACCACCAGGGAATTCCATAGCTAAGGTAATTAGTGTGGGGATGCTGGTTACTGAAACACAGCCTCCCCAAACACTGTCACCCCCTCCCACACACTATCACTGCAACCCCCTTCCACACAGTCAACCTCACAATGTCACACCTCCCTCTCACTGTCACCCCCACATACACACTGCACCCCCACTCACGCAGTCACTCTCCCACATAATGTCACCCCTATCACAAACTGTCAATCCCCCAGACATAGTCATCCCCTCCCACACACTGTCACTGGCACCCCCTCCAACACCGCTACCCTCTCGCACACACTGTTACTGTCACCCCTCCTACACACTGTCACCCATTCACCCAGCCACAATCTCACCTGCCCTCCCTCCTCCAACCATGCCACATTCACCCCAACCTTGTGATACACCCCCACCAAACATGCCACTCACCCTGCCAAATTAACCGCTCCAATCATGTCACTCATCCCACAACCATGCCACACTTGCCCTGTCACACTTCCCCTTCCAACCATGCCACATTCACCACAAGCATGCTAAATTCACTCAGTCACAATAACCCTCCCCTATTCCTATCACTTACCTACTCTTGCCCTGTCACACACTCCCTTCCAGCCATGTCACACTCACCCTGCCACAGTTACCCTGCTACTCACCCTGTCACTCACCAGCTGAAGACATTCATCATAAACACAGTCATGAAACATAGCTTTGCCATAAACACAATACACAAAGGCTTTAGGCAGCCCCCAAACACACAACCCAAGCAGCTACCCTACACACAGACGGTCCCAGACACAAGCTCACAGACATACATTCACACACAAGGATACGTTGTTAGACACACACTCGCATACACAGGTAGACCATGCCAGAAACACTCAAAAATATACAAAACCAGCTACGCATTATTATTATTATTATTGCCATTTATATAACGCCAACAGATTCCGTAGCGCTTTACAAAATTATGAGAGGGGATTTAACTATAAATAGGACAATTACAAATAAACTTACAGGAACAATAGGTTGAAGAGGACCTTGCTCAATCGAGCTTACATTCTATAGGAGGTGGGGTGTAAAACACAGTAGGACAGGAGCATTATGACTGTATGTCTGTATTTGTCAGTATGTGTGTCTCTAGGCATCAGTGTGTATGAGTGTATCAGTGTGTATATATATATATATATATATATGTGTGCATGTATTAGTTTGTGTCTATGGCTGCAATGTGAGGGTGGTAAAGCATGGGCTATGGAAAGGTAAATTGGCAACTTATATAATTTATATATACACAAATTAAAAGCCCAATCAAAACTTTCATATTTGTTTCCATCACCCAGTGCACACTGTCACATATGTATACACTGTCACAATTAGCATAATTGCAAATTCAATTTGTTTATTGCAAATTAATTTTGTTTGCAAGATATGCTAGAACTACTGTGATAGAGCTCACAATGCAGTGGCACAGGGAGCGCAGAAATTGCAAGCCTCTGAACGATGAATACAGAGACTAGCTTACTGTAGCCAGCTCTGTAAGCCCACCCTTTATTAAAGCTATAGCTCCATATACACACACAATGCAACCCCTGTTTTTTCACTTTGGGTGTTAGTGGGGGGCCTCATGTTTGAATTTCGCTTAAGGCTTCACAAAGTCTAGAGCCGCCACTGGGTGTAATATGCAGTGTGTGTATAACTGTATTATAGAGTTCCACAGTAATGTGCAATACACAAGTGTATTATAGAGATTTGAAATAATGTGCTGTATATATGAGTGTATTATAGAGCTCCGCCAGTGGCACACTGAGGTGGCCCATCAGGTGACTCATGCATTTAGGTTCACCCAATAGGCATGTATCTTCAGAGGCATGGTCATGTGCTGAGGCCTTTTAACAGCACGATCAGGCCCCATTAATAATGGCAGCTTTGGGAAGAAATGAGAGGCAGCTAACATTATCGAGCTGCCTGGGAGAGACAGAGGAGAAGGGCAAGGCAAAGGTTGTGCAGATTGGGAGAGCCAGCTCCTAACTCTCAACAGCCTTAGCCAGCAGAAGTCACTCTCCTGCACCCAAAAGGTATGAAAGAGTGTGGCTAAAAATGTGTACTTTTTTAATTTTATGTGTCATTGTGTGTCTGTGTATCTGTATGTTAGTCAGTGTGCATATCTTTATGCGTTTCAGTGTTTGTATCCGTGTCTGCGTATCTGTAGATGTGTAAGTGTTTGTATCTATGTATATGCGTGTCAGTATGTGTATCTGTATGTGTCAGTGATTGTATCATTGTGTCTGTGTATCTGCATGTGTGTACCTGTGTCTATATAGCGCGATATATGTATATTTGTAGCTGCATGTGTCATTCACTCACACATACTTCATAGAAAAACATGATTATATGTAAACAGACAAAGAATGCTCAGCGTTAAATACAACCCTGCAAGGATGTGCAAATGGTAGATATCCAGCTGCCAAAGCATTGTGGGAGTTGTACAACAGATGAAGATCTATATTCTAGCTATCTTTGCAATAGAGGGGGCCCAAACAAAATTCTTGCACCAGTGCCCTGTCTATGTTAGTTCTACCACTGGGCTCCACAGTTCTATTCTGTACATATGATTGTGTTATAGAGCTCTGCAGTTATGTTCAGTAGATAGTGTATTATAGCGCTGTGTTTGAGTATTACAGATCTTCACGATAATGTGCAGGTTGTATTAATTTAACACAGAACATAAACGGCGCATTGTTTTTGTTAGCCATAATATAATCTAGCTGTGCCTCTCCCAAGATTGAGCTCTGGATCAGCCCCTATTTGCCACCTTAACCCAACCTGAAACTTCCTCCCCCCATACTAAACTGTTAAGGAATTGTTAAGTGTTGGTCTAATTGGAACAACCAACTTGAACGAAATTTTGTCACCTGAATGTTTTTCAAAATTGCCGGACAAATCTTCGGGCTAACGTGCAAGTAGTGACTTATACACTGACAGGCTTACAGCAACCTCTTTACTATTGTGTCTAAGTGATCTACAGTCACTGTATACTTGTGGTACTAGGTGCCATTTGTAAAGCAGAGTGTAAGGTTTTTTGTTTTGTTTTTGTTTTAAATTAAGATTAGGAGTTATTTTTTATTTTTATTTTTTTTAAAGAAAAGTTATACTCTGTTATGCTGGATTTGCCTGTATACCATTTGTTGATTGTATAAAATGTTGCTTCACAGAAGGCTGCTAAACTATTCATATTTGTGTGTTGTAAGGTTCAAGATCCACCATGCTTTTCAGCAAGTCATCGAACAAAGCCGTGACTCCATAATACTTATCTTCATTGATGACATTCCGGATTACAAACTGAATCACTGCATACAGCTTAGAAAAGGAATGTTTAAGTCTCGTTGCATCTTGAATTGGCCAGCTCAAAAAGAACGGGCCAGCGCTTTTCGTGAAAAGCTAAAAATTGCCCTAGGATCAAGCAACCTTGTTAAATAATTCACATTTAGAGAAATGGTGGTTACTATGTCTTAACAGATTTTAAGTTTGTAAAAAATAAATGTATTTTAATAGAAAGCTGTGTAAGGTATGAAACAATTACTGTAAATTGCCAGAACGCTAGGAAAATGACTTGTGCCCTCAGGAATTTAGTGAATTTACTGAATTAGTTATTAATGTATTAGTCAAAATAAACAGCTACCATCGTTTAACATTCTACTTTTAAGTTTTTTACAAATGTATACTATATTTATTTGAGGTAGACTTTTACATTTGGTTTCAAATGAATTGCAATGTGTTTGAAATTTGGGCGATCAAAGGGCCATCCAAATTCCATGACTCTGGAATGCCATACAAGATATTACGAAACAATATAAACAAACATTGGACTAACAGTTTAATTTGTTTCGTCATTTGGAGTTCCGTTCGTGGTGTCAAAAAAAGACATGCTTTATGGGAAAATAGATGACCGATGGTTAGAAGAGAACCACTAAATGTTTTTTTTTTTTCCACAGATGAAGTGAGAAATGACTAACAAATCTTCATTTATATATTTAGAAAGTATATAATATATAAATATAGATTTTTTTTGTGCTCTCCCTTTTTCTTTACTGGTTACGTTTTCTCACTTGATCTGTGAACCAAAAGGTGGTACAGTGTTAAACAATATAAACAATCTCCAATAGGAGGAAGTGTGCCCAATATTAAGCGCTTCAGGTGATTAACATTAAAACAGCAGCTCTAAAGTTATAAGTGACGCTGGAATTATGCCTAAAACAAATTGGTTAAAGGGACACTATAGTCACCTGAACAACTTTAGCTTAATGAAGCAGTTTTGGTGTATAGAACATGCCCCTGCAGCCTCACTGCTCAGTCCTCTGGCATTTAGGAGTTAAATCCCTTTGTTTATGAACCCTAGTCACACCTCCCTGCATGTGACTTGCACAGCCTTCCATAAACACTTCCTGTAAAGAGAGCCTTTTTTAGGCTTTCTTTATTGCAAGTTCTGTTTAATTTAGATTTTCTTATCCCCTGCTATGTTAATAGCTTACTAGACCCTGCAAGAGCCTCCTATATGTGATTAAAGTTCAATTTAGAGATTGAGATACAATTATTTAAGGTAAATTGCATCTGTTTGAAAGTGAAAGTGAAACCATTTTATTTTTCATGCAGGCTCTGTCAATCATAGCCAGGGGAGGTGTGGCTAGGGCTGCATAAACAGAAACAAAGTGATTTAACTCCTAAATGGCAGTGAATTGAGCAGTGAAATTGCAGGGGAATGATCTATACACTAAAACTGCTTTATTTAGCTAAAGTAATTTAGGTGACTATAGTGTTCCTTTAATGAATGTTTATGATTTGTTTATGATCAGTGCAGTTTACCATAATGGAGAGTCATTTGAAGACGCACAAGGTTTTTCATTAAAGTGAGAATTCAAGGTACATTTCAAATTTAAGGTAAAAGTAGCTGAAATGGAAAAATTCTCTAAATCTGCTATATTTTCAGTTAAGCTACTCTGGCTTTATATTTGAAATTCACACTGAATTATCTCTTGAGTGAATAACCCTGACAATGTAACTATTGATGCTGAAAAGTTAAAAGCTGTATTTGGTTGGTTTTATTTTTTTTGGTTTTCTTAAATTAAACAAAAATGTTGTACACTTTTAAAGTATGGTGAGAGGAATGTATCTATACCCTTGGAATAAGTTATGTCATCACATTCAGGTAAAAGTTGAATACTGAAGGAGATACAGATTGTGGTTTGTAATGCCACTTTATTAAATGTTTTAGTAATTTTAGACACATTTAATTGTGTTACACTTTTGTATGTTATACAAATAAACAATTGTTATGATTTTTTAAGAAATCTGTGACTCCATAAATCGCCTTGCACACACAGCTCCAGGACTGATACACAGGCGATTGATTAGTGCATGTGAGACTGCTTTGAAAACTTTTCTTGTTTGTATAGTTTGCATTATCATGTTGAATTATTATGTCATACTTATACATGTATTTCTTCAGTTAAAAAAAAGATTCACAGCTTGAAAACTCCACCGTAATTGTTTTTTTGTTGTTGTTTTTTTTTATGTAATGCTTGAAATCTCTCAGTGAGCAATGTAAGTGCTTGCAAGCTCGCCTCATCAAATCAACCTGAAGCTGGGAACTTAAAAAAAATTAAATTAAAAAAAAGGAAAAATCTAACAATCTGTAAATGGATTCAATGGAAACACATTTTTTTTTAGAAACAAAAATTTGTGTTTTAACAGAAACACTTTAAAGGAACCCTCCATTGGAAATTTTTAAACAGTTTACTAGATATACCGCAAATGAAACCATGCAAGCAATTATTTCTCCAGATTTTAATTGGGGGTCACAGGCTGTTGCGGGTATGGTTCTTGGCGTGTTCCTTTAAACGTAACACCTGAAAAAATATATTTGACGATTTTATTAAACATATTGTGACTACACAATATGATTTTTTAGGCTTTTATTTAATATTTTTGGAAAAACTTGTCAAATTGAATATTTTAGATAGATATTTAAAAAAAAAATGTTTCCAAAATATTAAACTATATCATATATATATATATAAAATGTCAAAGTATTAAATATCTTCAAATTATTAAACCATTTTAAAATTGTATCCATAAATATTAAATCATTTGAAAAGCTTATACAAAAATATTAAATAAAAGCCTAAATCATATAGACGTTTACGTTTAGCAAATTCTTTATTTTAACAGTGAATGTAAAGGAACATATGCAGATAATGGTAATGCTATGACATTGATAGCTAATGCTACAAAATAGTTTGCATGTACATAACAGGTCACGTTGAGACTTGCACTTTTTATATAATTCAATCAGTAGGCAAGAAATCCTTACATGAGCCAAACACTGAACAAATATAATAGTAAGCGTGTGTTATGCCTGTCACGTGGGGTACACATTTTGATAGTATAGTATAGTATACTAAACCAGGCTTAATTGCCGCTTAGACTGAGGTCATCGTAAGGGAATTACATGGTAATCTAAGAAAAACTACAAGATTACCAATGGCCTGGCTAGGGATGTTGTCCATATGACTGTATATTGACATGTGCTTATATCTATGTTAGGCCTGCAATTTAGCTAGATAATAATAGACAAAAACTGAGGTAATCAGACCTGAATTTGTTAAAATTTATTTTAAAACAGCGAATAATAATGGACTGTAAGCAGTATGGTAGCTGTTAAAAGGGACTAAATAGCCAAAATATACCATCATTTAACATTCTACTTTTAAGTTTTTTACATTTGTATACTATATTTATGTGAGGTATCCTATGTGGGGTAGGATATATGGGAGAATAAGATGTGAGTGTCAGTAGATGACTTGTTATTTTTATCAGCCTTGTGTTTTGTCCCTGGTTTATGGGTAATAGTGGGGTTGTAGCAAGATTGGCTTGGACTGACTCTAGCTTTTAGTAAGGTGGTCATGGGAGGGGGGTTGGTTAGTTGTAAAGCCATACCCCTATCATATGGAGTATTGCCATTCACTTCAAGGCATCATATGGCAGACCTCTATTTTCCAGCTCCTGCCTAAGAAGCCAATTACCGCCTCTGCTCTTCGGGATCTGAGATTGTCATTTCTTGGTGCTCGAGGACAGCTGGTCCCGTGGGGTGAAGATGCACAAGTTGTTGGGTGCCAAGTGTGTGTTCCTCTTTCGTCTCTTGTTACCTTGCCAAGGATGGGCAAGACCCATTGTAGGTTACCATGAGGAGCAGTCCATCGGTAAGTTATTCCTGCATTTCTCAGTTGGCTTGTTGTTGGAAGAAGCATTTACACCATTGCAAGGTGGACCTCGATAGGTCTTGGTAAATGGTACCTTTAAATGAGTAAGGTGTTTGGTTTTGTAGAGCTGAGAGGAGTGTCCTTTTGAGCGAGGAAGCAGCGTACTATATCACTCATAGCATTCGATGAAGCCCTAGGTGATTTTGGCAGGCGGAACATGCCATCAAAAGCAAGCTTTTTGTCTTGTGTCGGTGGCAGTAGCGATGCCACTAGTCACCTCAGGTAGTGGGGAAATTTTTCCAGGGTGATGGACTCAAGTACTCATCTTTTTTTCAGATTATTATGTCTGGACCGGTCCTTCAGCTTAGCAAGGTGCGTGGAGAATGCTTGTTGTATTTTTTTGGACATTTTGCAGGATGTCCTTCACATTGGACACTTCCCGCCTCACATCAATGATGTCCTCTTCAGCAACTCTCACTATGTCTGTTATCACCTGAAAGTCAACCTGGATAGCTGCTCTGTCTGTGGCTAGTGTTTGGCGGAATTCAGTTAGGAGATTTTTAATATCATGCTTGATATCCAGAGCTGATCAATCAGGGAAGCCTGAAGCTGCTTGTTCTGGTGCCTGAGGCAGGGTGTGAGCATGAGGGTAGGCAGGTGTGTGGGTCTAAGAGTCCGCAGGGACCTCCTGGTTCTCTGGGGTTGCCATTTTGGGCAAAGCCTGGCTTAGGAATTGTCATACCTCGATATGCTACGCGGCACATGGGGCTTCCAGAGGTTGCCGCGCAACAATCATGAAGTCTCTGGTCCCACGCTGTCCTGTCCACAGTGAACGCCATGCGTTTGGTTGCAGAGCAGAGCAGCCCCTGAACGATCTGTCTTCTATCAAGGCTTCCTGATCATTTTGGCAGCCTTGAGCCACCTACAGGAGTCCTTGGAAATTACAGGACCCTGTAGGTGCACATCATCTGCCCTTGGCACATCACACCCCGTTGTGGGTGATCTTCGTTATCTACCTTTTGTTACCAACCTGCTCCATTACCATTCTGAACTGCTTTACAACCCTGCTTTATCCAGCCAACCTGCTCCAAACCAGCCTAACCGACGCTACCATCCTGCTTTATCCTGCCATCCTGATTTATACCAACCTGCATAACACCAATCTGGACTTTGCCTCTCAGTAACATTGCAAGATCTTATTTTCATACTCTATCAGTACTCCTTCCAAGAGGGAGCTGATTCACAAAAAGTACTGCTTTTCCTATAATCCTGAAACCTTATTGTTCTATCATGTTTTACGTATCCCTCCATATTCAACCTATACTTCTATCTATAGGTTCTCCTTTTATCTACCTACATCCTGTTTATAATCTATATAGCGCGCATTGCCTAAACCTCTGTTTCTCTTATTTTCCTTCTCCATATAATTTCATTTTATAGGATTCCCTGTTACTTTATTGTGTCCAAAATCACCAATACAGCCTCTAATGTTAACTCTGGCCAAAGTCTCTTACCTGACCTGCTCAAGTTCATGACAGTATTACTCTTATAATGTGAAAAATAAAAGCTTTGGCTTCCTTGGATTGAATGTTTTATGCTCCTGTAAAATACAATTGCCTTGTAGATATGCCAGTGAAACTTGAAGAATCTTTAAACACAGTAGTCATGTACATCAAAATACATTTTCAAGGAAGTAACGGAAAAGGAAATTAGAGTGGGTAACGTTAGTAAAGAGAACAGAAAGTGCCTCTTCTCTTAACAGAAGTGCTTGATTTGATTTTTAAAAAATATTTTTAGCATTGAAAAGGAACAATAACGCATAAAAGAACCTTACATAGCAGAACTAACCACTTTCATTTTATAGGCTAGATCATGTAGCAAAAATATGGAATGGTGAATAAGGGTAAGAACTGTTTGTAATCTTAATGGACACTCACACTTGAAACAAGGTAGAAGCTGCCAGTTTACTGAAAATTATATGTTTAAAGTTTTTCAATGTTTATTTTATTTTAATGCATATTTAGTATCCGGGTGATAGCAGTGTTTGTAGTTTTAGTGACCATTTCACTACACATTGTTAAGCACTCAGTAGAAGTTGGATTTAAATAACCTTTGAATGCAACATAATCCTAGTCAGGTATAGAAGTTGCAGCTCAGATATATTAAAAGAGTATAAAGATAAAATGTAAATTGCAATGTATTAAAGGACCACTATAGGCACCCAGACCACTTCAGCTTAATGAAGTGGTCTGGGTGCCAGGTCCTTCTAGGATTGACCCTTTTTTTATAAACATAGCAGTTTCATAGAAACTGCTATGTTTATAATATGGTTAATCCAGCCTCTAGTGGCTGTCTCTTGACAGCCGCCAGAGGCGCTTGCGTGCTTCTCACTGTGAAAATCACAGTGAGAAGTCGCCAGAGTCCATAGGAAAGCATTGTGAATGCTTTCCTATGAACTGGCTGAATGCGCTCAAGGCTCCTGCCGCGCATGTGCATTCAGCCGATGACGTCGCTATGGAGGAGGAGAGGAGGAGGAGAGCTCCCTGCCCGGCGCTGGAGAAAGGTAAGATTTTAACCGCTTCCTCTCCCCAGAGTCCGGCGGGAGGGGGACCCTGTGGGTGGGGGCACCCTCAGGGCACTATAGTGCCAGGAAAACGAGTATGTTTTCCTGGCACTATAGTAGTCCTTTAAATATTCAAATTTAATGTTACTAAAATATTTCTATAAAACTATTTATATTGGCAATTAGATCAATTCTAAACTTTAATGTATTTGAATATATATCTAGCCCTTTTTAGAGATAAAATAAATTAGAATATTAGAATTTGCATAAAGCATGTACACGTTTCCAGATTTTAACTGGACCTTGTTACAAGATTGTCCTAATTAAGTCGAAAAATACTGATAATCACCTTACTGTGGCTCTTCCCCTAGAAGACACTACCAGACCAAGCACCCTAAAAGCTGACCACCCGATAGCCTATATGTGCAGCATAGGTTCTCCGGAGTAACCCACCAACTCAGGCCTATTGCATGGCTCAGAACTCAGCCATGGGCAGTCAAACATCTAACCGGGTGGCAATCCTACATCGTGTTATGGATCAGGGCACCATTCAAACTGTATACAGCTGTCAGGGATACCTTACAAATGGGTTTACTGAAAGAGAAAAATCACTG